GTCTTTAGTGATTAACAATTCAATTAATACATGTGTTTGCTAAATGTAATCTGAACAAGCTGGAGATTTTATTTGGAACAACTGACTGTTCAGGACACCGAATCTTCATTTTAACTAAATAATGATGTTATGACTTTTACATAGCAAATATTTGAAGTTGGTGGTTATTGAATTGATTGTAATTCAAATCACAAAACAATTGTTTCTTCATTCTAAAAAAAAGTACAATTATAATAAATAATAATCCTGCTTTGATACAGTGATTTTCACATTGGGAGGACATTCAAAGAGCTTCACGGGATTTACCGCAAAAGAGACTAGGTGAACACGGCAGATCAATTACGCACAGCAATGTTCCATAAACAGCCATGAAGCAAATTAACTTTTGTTTGCTATATTATGCAGAAGAAAAACTATTATGTAGAAGAAAAAGTAGCTTCCATCTATATGCCTACAAATTGTGCACAAAAAGACAAAGTAATGATTGTTCAAGTGGGAAACTTTGAATATTTTAATTGGGTATTTCCTTGTATTCCAGTGATGGAGGCACACATGATTAAGGCAGATGCATAAAACAATAAGTCTTTGTGCCTGAGTATTTAGAAGGCTTGTTGCGAGCAAATTTTGTTAGAGGCTTTGTACAGTATTTAACTGTGTTATTTCCTAGCAGTACCAATGGACGCTGCTGTGATTTATTTTTCTCTACATTTTTTATATGATATTAAGCTTTGATTAGGTAGGCAGAGCCTTACATTGAGACCTGCTGATTGGTTTGCTGATCATGTGCTTGGGTAAGTTTTTATGGTTTAACAAATTAGTATAATTAATTTTGGAGTGGGAATCAAGAACATAACTGAACATCACTGCTTCTGTGCTAAAAATTTTTTTTAAAAGTACTTGGCTTCTCCATCCCACCCAACCTCAGCTCCATCTCACAAATCACTGATGTGGTTTGTTATGTGTGGCCTAGTAGATTATGGTGTTGTTCAAACGCAGGAATTGTTTGGAGATACTAGAGATTTTTTTTGTGAAATTTAATTAGTACAACATGTTCTAAATTAGCATATTTGATTTAGGGGCCGAAATGTGAGCTTATAGTTGTCTGGAGAAAGATGATTGTAAACCTGTAACCAAACTTTGAACTAATGTAAGTAGAGAGGGAGGTGCCTACCTCAGCATTTTCTAATTTCTAGAAACTGCTTGACAAAATAGCGTTTGTAGCACTCTTGAGATGAGATGTTTATGGAATCCTGTGGGTTCGATTCCCGGTCAGGCGAAATGTTGAGCAAGTTTCCTTACTCCCAAGTGCCTCTGTTTACCTAGCAGTAAGTAGGAACTCAGTTGGCGGATTGCTTTCCGGGTATAATAATCGCTTCAAAAAATAATAATCATTTGGTCACTCAATCCACGACTGCTTATGGGACATTGCTGTGGGCATTTGGCTGCCGCGTTTCGCCCACAAAATATACAGTCAATTCACTTTAGAGTATATTTTGTGAAGTGCTTTGAGACATCTCGAAGGCACTATATCAAATGCAAGGATTATTATTAAACATAGAACCTGACAATTGGCGGTTCAGATGGGCTAAAATCTTTTAACACTGTTTTAAAGAGCACAGAATTGTCACGTCCTAATAAATATTCCTCTGTCACCCAAATTGAACCCAAAAAGGCTTAATTCTGCTTAATGTTGTTTGTGAGATATTGCTGACCAACAATTTGGGGCAGTGTTTTGCTTAATAACCAGTCACTATGCTCATGCCTCACTATACTTTGAACAACAATTTTTGATGGGAAAAGCTTCATATGATAACGTATGTATCATTCTGAGAACTTGGCCTGGAGCTAGATCATTGGAACACAAACAAAATATTGAGGGAGGGGAGAAGTAAATTTTGTTAACTCAACAATACATGCGCCCTAATAGGTGAATGAGTTCTTCTTTAGTTAGTACACAAAATTATACTCCAGAGTGTCTCTAGTATCATTACTGTGTAGACATGGAAACATTTGCATTGGTAGTAAGTTGTCATAAACTATAATTGATTTAGTTCAGGATGGTCCTGCTGGCATCCGACCTAGGGAATAATTTCATCTGGGCATTAACCATTTCCGACTTCATTGTTTTACCTCCCTGCTGCACCTCTCTTCTGGTTGGTCTCCGCACTGCCTCATAAAAGATGGCGTGGAGAGTGATGGAACGAAGAGGTGCAATGCAGCAGGAGTATTTTAAAATGTTATTGTTGCATATTTTGCTTATGTAGCCTGTGACATTTCTCAACGGTGGCATTCAGCCCTCAGCAGCCAAAAAGTTGGATCTTCCTGATCCAGCTGAACCTGGAGCATAAGTATGTTTAAAAACTGTTTGGACAATACCTCAGATGCCTTGTTTGGGTCAATTTTCTTTTAATATGGGTTTAAGGATTTCAAAGTTACAGCTAATCTTAATTGTGCATAACTTTCAAATATGTTTTTTTCCTTCTAAAGTGACTTCAGCTGTACGAAGGAAACATGGTTTAACTTCCTTCCATTTTACCTAATTTTATTGAGACATGAAAGGTTGCACTATTGAGAGAAACTATTTGTGGAAGTGCTGTATAAGAGGTTATTGTGTCTCACTTAGAATCTTTTGAGCTGATTAGTAACAATTTCCAACTTACACAGAATGCTGTTAGTCAGGTATCTGTGGATTTTATTTGTCGTAAGGTCAGAGTTCAATCTTATTCTCCCTTAAATTGTAATCGGAAGACAAATCTATAATCAGTAATATTATCAGTAAGATGCTAAAGAGTGCCATTGAAGTGTATTGAGCTGAAGTTATTTTATGGTGAAGTGTATTAAATTGGGTCAAGTGCATATACCTATACTTTGTTTTCTATTGTCAGGATTTCAGGGAAAATCTGTATTGTAATGCACAGCTGACTTGTATAATGCTCTTTGAGGCGTCTCAATAATAAGTACTAAGCACTAATATCAACTCCAAGGATATTTATTATACACAGTATTATTAGTACAAGACTTCATATTCACTTGCCTTTTTTTAAAAAAGGTAGTTTAAAATGTTCATATACGTTTTTCTTCAGAAGAGCACATTTTTAAAACTTTGTCCTCTTAAGTTTCATCTATCAAAATAATTTTTTCTTTCTTAATGCATTTGTACTTGATTTGGGGAGATGCATGCTTTCTCTGAGTAGAGTGGAATAGTCCATTCCCTCTTGGACTAAAAGCAGTGACCTCAGCTTTGGTGTTTAGCTTCCTGTATATACAATTTTTAAAAAATTTTGACTGAAAAGTTGGAGTATGTATTTATACAATGAATATTGCAATACAGAGTACTTCTGATAGTTTACCTGTTGATTACTTGTTGCTGATTCTTCTCTTGAAAATACTAGATTTGTCTTGTTGGTCAGTACGTGTACTTTGCATGTTGCATTTTCATCAAAAGGCTTGAGAAGCTCCATGTGTGGCTCAGTGAGTTTACCCAATGAGAAGCTGAGCCATACAGATGGGGAAGGTCCTATCTTCCACCCACATCTATGTTAATTCAGCAGATCTTAGCTGGGCAGCGCTTGGGTTTCTACAATTGGCCTCAGGGCCCTGTGTTATGGAAGGGAAAATCTTCAGAGTTCCAGCTTTTAATTAATATCTAACGACCCCTGCTGGAATTGCACATGTGTTGTCAAGCAAGGACATGTTGAACTCAGCTCTAATGCCCCTGCAATTGGAAAAACCTAGTGGCACCCCAATGAGGCTCGTGAATAAATAATAACCAAGTGGGCAAGCATCCAGAGTGTGCCCATGGGGCAATACCTGAGTAGATGGAAAAAGGATTTGAAACCCCTTTAGGAAAACAATGGAAAATAAATAATACTTTGTTTTGAGTAAAAAGGAAATGGAACAGTTTAGAAAGCAGAATGCAGAATAACTACAGTATTATGAGCTTTAATAGTCCTAAACCTTTATTTTGACTACAAGATAATTATTTTTGTTGCAAAAATGATCCTGGAGTTTTAAATTGAATGTAGTACGAGTGGTCTTTTGTGCACTCAGCAGGAGCTTTAATGTGGCCATAAATTATATTGTCTGAATGAAGATGTAGTTTAAGGCTAAGGTGCGGAGGATTATACAACAGATGGAAGTGTTCTCGCAGTTGCCTCTTATTTTGCTTTTAATATATTGACGTGGCTGTACTGGGTTCCTGTGTGGATGGTTGAGATCTGATGAGTTAGCGGGTTACCATGGTAAAATCCTGTCACATGACTTGGATGCTGCCTCACAACGTCTCCAGATTTTTTTCTGCTACGTTTGACGTCAGCACTGAGGTCAAGCAGAGCCCTGTTGTGAAGAAGCAGGCTCACAGCCTACCCTACAGCACAGTGTTAGAAATTTATACCATCTGGGATGGCTCCAATGCCTGGTCCCACACAAGCAATTTCCCCAAATGGTGAGAATAACAACGACATCGTTCAGGACAATGGTACCATTATTCCTTTTCGGAAGCACACAGTGAGAGGGGAGCGTTCTTACAGGTAACCAGTGCTATGTTTAGCTATGGCTGGAGACTGCAGTAGAATGAGGAAATGCAAGGGGTTACATAATTGAGCTGCATAACCTAGATGTGTGTGAAAGAACTTAATTTGAATGCTTTTTCCAATTTTAAGTACAATTTGCTTTAGTATTGATACATAGAATAATAGTAAATTATTGGAACAGAAAAACTGTTTGTTTATGAATGCCCTTGTGCTTTTTTTTTCCTCCGCCCCCCCCCCCCCCCCCAGTTTTGCTAGGTCCCCTTCTATCTTGTTATTGATAAGATGAAGTAATTATTTCTGTGAAGTGGGACTGTACCATTTTCAGTTACCGAAAGAGAGATTTAACAAGGTTTGTCGGAAATAAAATGTAGTTAGGAAAACAGATGAACGGAGCACTCCCCAGTGAATTTGGAAAAATGGATTCCTCTGGATTGAGCTGCAGTTGGTGGTATTATTAAGCAAACCAGATTGACGGAGCTTTGTAAAATTCTGCAATCCGATTGGTGAAATGCCTGACAGTCGAGGTCACCATGTCATGCATTCAGTGAGATTTCCTCTTGTAGCAGGCTCGTACAAAGAACCTAGACCTCTGTAACCATTGAGGAATTCTCGGAAAAAGGACAGTAGATGCTAAATCAGTTCCAGATTTTGCTTGAAGGAATCGCATCTGACTATTTAAGAAAGGCTGTGGTGAAGCAGTGCTGACAGATCTGGTATTTGATGAGTATTGTGGATTTAAGATATTTCATGGGTGGAGACTGCTTTTCATATTGTGTTGCATTTTATTTGAATTTTTGAAGTCGGGCTGCAAATATTTTTACTACATTAATTAGATTTTTTCCGCCAGTGCACTGTAAATGTAGCCAGTATTCCTTATAAATGAATCTACAAATCCTATATATAAACCTTGATGATCTTAAGAAATTTAATTCTTGTTCAATCTATTACTCACTTATAATCTGGGTTTTTGTAAATTACTATCAAGACGTTTTGGTGATCAGCAAAAGGCGATTTTATTTCTTGTAATACAACTAGGCCCATGGCTTCATTGTTTGCATGCACTGATGACTTGCCAGCCTTGAGATTTCAATTTTAAATGGTTCTGTTTTTTTTCAAGTGTGATGTGCTTAAAAATGATCCTAGCATCTTAGTTTGGAATCTCTGAAAATCTTGTTGTGACAAAATAAGTACAACTAATATTTTGTGCATAAGAATTGTTATTGTGAAGCTCAAGCAAAATATTTTTGTTATGTTCTAAGGGTATAGTAAATCGAATTGCATGGTTTGTGAGCGTTTTTAAATCAAACGCTAGCAAGTGTTTTACACATCTATATGTGGATATTTCAATGTCATTTTTAATTTGTTTACCAACATTGAATTTAGCTTTGACACATTGTATCAATATGAAATCGACTTATACAGAGCATTTGCATAGACGTTTACCACTTTTTCAAGAGGTAACATTACTGAATTGCTTTCTTTCCTTGTTCATTGTAGCCCTTTCTCAATGAATCCAATCCAAATGATATGTTCACGCATCCTGAAGGAGGCAATTAACGGTGTTTTAAAATTTATCTAATTTTTATATATGTATCTATATATAATTGTTTTTATAGGGGGAAAATGCTTGAAAGTATAATCCTTAAGAAACTTAAATCTGTTGTGTTTGTGACTTAAAGCTATCACATTATGCAAGAATTACAGCCTAACAGTTAATAAATTTGAGGGAGTTTTCATTGAATAAGTTTCATTTACCCCATCATCCATGTGTTTGTAACCAAGGTAGTGGGTAGATAACCCATCTGAGGCTGCTGTCAATATCCAATCACTCCTGAATGTGACTTACATCTCTCTTATCCCCACCTCCACCCCGCAGATTGTTTAGCCTCTGGTATGTCACAGTTGATACATCTCACATTGGGAATTGAGAAAATTGACGCTCAATCTTGCTTATTCCCTCCCCATGCCCTTCACAGTCTTGTTAGTCGAGTAGTTGGAACTTGGAACTCGTGTAGTGACATTTTTGTTGATATGTGTGGCTTTTCTGTAAATAGTTTGCATCAATAAAGGAAAGTTGTATAGGCTTCATAATGTTACTATAAGAGATTTGGTTTTGAAAAATTGACTTAGCGAAAAATTTGTTGCATAAGTCACACATGTAGACTATTTGATGTAATTTTAATGTAATCCTACCGGTTACATACTTCCTTAATATCTTATAACTTAGATACTTTGGGATTGTGAAAGGCACTATTTTAGTGTAAATTGTGTTGTACAATTGGATTCTGGATTATTTTGATAATGGATTTATTTAGGATTTTTGAGGGAAGTTGTATGTATAGGCTATATGAGCCAGAAATCTGTTGCCTAAAGCTAAATAATAATCCTTGCATTTGATATAGCGCCTTATTACGTCTTTGAGATGTCTCAAAGCGCTTCACCGTAAAGCTGTTAGTGTTACTATTTACTTTGAACTGAAATTGTTTTATGCCAAATGAGTTATACAGTGCTTATCTGTGTGTCATCCTGGCTCATTTGGTAGTACTCTTGTTTCTGAGTCAGAAAGTGGTGGGTTCAAGCCCTATGTTGGGGTTTGGAACTTGTGTAGTCTAATCTGACATTCCAGTGCAGTGCTGGGGGTGTTGTACTGTTCGAGTTGCCGTGCTTCATGATGAGGTATTAAATTGAAGTCCTGTGTGCTTGTTTAGGTGGATGTTAAAGGCACTATTTGAAAAGAGAAGGGAATTTCTCCTGATGTTCTGGCCAGCAATTCTTCCAAATAACATAGGTCTTTCATTTCATGGCTATTTGTGGAATATTCCTGTGCATAAATTAGCTGCTGTGTTTGCTACAAAACGCACAGTCAATGCACTTTGAAGTATACCCCTTAAAGTGTTTTGAGATATCCTGACATGAAAAGTGCTATACCAAATGTAAGTATTATTATTTTTAAACATTTTTATGTTCAGAATATTAAATATAGGTTTACTCAGTCCCACTACCTTAATGGTAAGAGGTGAGTCTCCAGTACTGTTCCCTAAACAAAAATATTTCTGGTCCAGCATGGAGAAGAAGTGAACTATTGCTGCTGGGAAAGGGAGTTTTAAAATCTTGAGTGTAGGTCAACCTATTGAAAATAGCAAACATGCATTTAGGGACTCTGGTTGAATTCCCACCTAAGGGCTTTGAGTGGAGTTTTGTAGCGTATTGGTTAGAGCACTCACCTCGCAAGCGAGAGTTCCTGGGTGTTTTCCCTGGCAGGGTGAAATATCGGGCAAGTTTCCTTACTCCACAGCCTCTCTGTTCCCCTGCAATAAGTTACCCAATGCTTCTACTCAGTGTTGTGCCTGATTGTTTAGTCAACAACTATTGTTCAACGAAAGCAAGTAATCTTTTCCTGATAGAGCTCTATGTACCTAGGTTTGAGGAAATCAGTCCATTTTGCAGTGGATGTCTTCACAATGTAAAATTGAATCAAAAGTTCCGGAGAATATATTTCATTGTTAATAATAATAATAATCCTTGCATTTGATGTAGTGCTTTTCAAGTCTTCCAGACGTCTCAAAGCACTTTACAGAATGGACTGTAAAGTGAATTGACTGTATTTGTGGGCAAAATGCAGCAGCCAATTGCGCACAGCAGCACAAACAGTCGTGGATTGAAGTGACCAATTTTATTATTTTTATTTTGAGGGATTATTATCAGGCCAATTGTACAATTGTTGGTGTAGTACTGTTTATTTTACTTGAGGGTTGTATCAGTATGTTTAGAGAAGTATAAGGAGCCAATGATCATCATTGACCTTGAGAAATTCTGCAAAGTTCCTTCAGATGGATTAGATTCAGTAAATTCAAGATTTTAGTCCATGTAGACAATCAGCACAGTACAGAAACAGGCCATTCAGCCCATCAAAACGGTGTTCTTCATGAGCCACCAAATCTCATCCCACTAATTCCATTCATATGCTAACTCTTCACAAATTTTATTACTTTTTTAATCGGGTTGACAGAATCATAGAAATTTAGAGCACAGAAGGAGGTCATTCGGCTTATCAAGTCTGCACTGGCTTTCAGTGTAAGCGTTTCATTCAATCCCACTACCCTTCCTTAACCCCTGAAAGCAGCAATCCTTTTATAACTGTCTACTTCTCTCTTGAAACCCACAATGCAAAATTACCCCCATTCCACATCTCAACATCTCTGAGTCGGGAGAAAAAAATCACCTCAGCTCTCCTTACGTTTTTTTTGTGACTATCATAACTTTGACCACTGAGTCATTGACTCCCCTACGAGTGCAAATAGCTTCTCCCTATTTACCTTGTCAAACCCCTCATAATTTTGTGTCTCAGTCAGGTCCCCTCTCAACCTTCTCTGCTTCAATGAAAACAGACCCAATTCCATAATCCTTTCTCATAACTAAAGCCCCTCATTCTAGTAAATCTCCTCTGTATCCCCTCCAAGGCCTTAAAGTGGTCTGGGACGCTACCTTGCGTCAGGGCCGCTGTATAAATGCAAGTTGTTAACATGTTTCCTAAAGTGAGATGCCCAAAAATGAATGCAATGCTCCAGCTGCAGCCTAACCATTCTTGACAGTTTCTCAAGAGTTCTTAAAAGAATGCATACCCATTTTTAACAACAATAATAATAATCCTTGTATTTGATATAGCACGATTCAATTAAGTTAACATCTTTTTGCCAAGACCCCTTGCGTGAGGACCTGGATTAACCAGCTGGTGCTGGGTAAACAACAATAACTTGCATTGATATAGTTATATATGTGTGTGTTTGTGTGTGTGTGTGTATATATATATATATATATATATGTGTGTGTGTGGGGTAGCGTCCCTGGCGGAGTCTGAACCCAAGCCAGAGTGAGAGGGAGTGGGGAAGTGACCGTAAGCACAATCAAAAAGGACGGTCTTTAGGCAGGATTTGAAAGTGGGGAGGGAAGGGGCAAGCTGGAGGCTGAAGGCATGGCCACTGAGGGGAGGGACGAGGGACGAACAGGAGGCCGGAGTCAGCTGAGTGGAGATAGCGGGCGGAGGAGTGGTGGGGGGGGTAAGCAAATTGGATAAATAGGGAGGTGTGAGGGCATGAAGGGATTTGGAAACGAGTGAGAGGATGTTGAAATCGATCCGTTCAGTAATTGGGAGCCTGTGGAGCCAGACAAGAACTGGTGTGACAGTCGTACATAGTTTTGTACGGGTGAGAAACTGGGTAGTGGAGTTCCGAATTAGTTGAATTTTGTATATGGTGGAGCTGGGGAGACCAGCGAGGAAGGCATTGGCATAGTCCAACCGGGAAGTGATAAAGGGGTGGACGAGGGTTTCGGCTTATTTTGTTGTGAGGTATGGACGTAGGTGTGCAATGTGACGAGGTGGGCAATGTGACGAGGTGGGCAATGTGACGAGGTGGGCAATGTGACGAGGTGGGCAATGTGACGAGGTGGGCAATGTGACGAGGTGGGCAATGTGACGAAGTGGGCAATGTGACGAGGTGGGCAATGTGACGAGGTGGGCAATGTGACGAAGTGGAAAAAAACGGTTCGGGTCAGGGAATAGATGTGAGGTAGAAAGGAAAGCTAGGGATCGAACCTGACGCTTACGTTGTGCACGGGTTTGGTGAGTCTGAGGAGGTTGAGGAGGCTTCCATCTTGCCGACATTCAGCTGCAGGAAATTTGCGCTCATCCAGGCCTTGATGTCCGTCAAACAAG